CACCCGGGGGCGGGGCCGGCCCAGATCGTTCCGCGGGCGCACATAAATGGCCCGGCGGGCGCCATGGCGCCCGTGAGCACTGTGTTGGGGACCACTGCTTTAAAGTGTCTTAAATAGGGTGCTGGAAATCCCAAATCACTTTCTGGAAAACATAAGCTCTTGTTTTGTTAAGAAGTTGGGCTTCCCTGTCCTGCCCTGCCCATGGCCCCTGGACTTCCAGGGCCTTAGAAAGCCATTGTATAAATGGGCACAGAAGTACACAAATGGGAGGGATGTCCTGATGCCTTCTCTGAATCTCCTGTTGTGTCTGTCTGCACATATAGCTTGAAGACCAGACCTTGCAGATGGAGCAGCTGAAAAGAGAACTGGAAGCCAAGAAGGACGAGCTGACCCAGATTCAAAGCTCTCTCAGCCATTCCAAGCAGGTATGTGCCCCAGCTGGTAGGAACACACTGTTTTTACCCAGTGCCAGGCAGAGGGCCAGGGCTGCTCAGCTCTTCTGGAGATTCGTCCAGGATTCCCAAAAGTAGCTTAAAGTTTGCATAGGCCCACTCAATCTGGGGATAGGCTGCCTCAGAGGATTCGTGCTATACATCATTCATGTCTAGGTCACGTCTAGGTCACTGGCTCCAGTAGTTGTGGCTGGCGGTCCAGTGGCCTGTGTGTAAAGAATTTGGTGGTTCCCAGGCCCATTCCCATTTGGAGAGTATCCTCTGCACAGAAGCCACCACTGGATTTGGTGTAAATGATTTGACAGGCCAAGGCCATGGTGATCTTACACCGCTGCCTATGCTGGTCTCTCCTGAAGAACAGTCTGAGGGAAAACTTGCACTGCTGCTGGATAACAGGAGAGGTCTCTGTGCCTGGGACTTGCCCCTGTTCGTTATCTAAGCACTAAATTCCTACCTAGTGCTTTCAACACGCAGGAATCCCCCATTGCTGACCAGCCCCTGGCTCATCCTGCTTTGTTTTCAGGCTGGCTCCGAGCTCCATTCCCAAGTGGAAGCCCTGCATGCCGAGAAGGACTCGCTGAGGAAGTCAGTGAGCGAGAAGGAGTGTGAGCTGCTGTCCATTAAGGGCCTGATTCAGGAGAAGGAGCTGCTTTTGAACCAGGAGGCAGAGAAGAATGCTAAGGAAATCCGGGAGCTGCAAGGGAAACTCATGGAAAAGGTACTGGGGAGAAGCATTTAGAGTCTTGGGACAGAAGCCCCTTTCCTGAGCAGACCTGCTGGGGCCTTGAGTGATGCATACGCAGAGAGAAGAGCCACGCAGGCAGCTCAGCCAATGTGGAACAAATCTGCCCAATGCCAAAGAAATTGCCTTTGTGGTCAATCTGTGAATGCCATGCAGCGGGGGGTGACAAGCTGCTGTCAGCAATAAACAGTGCCCCCTCTATATCTCTGTCCTTCATGGGGGGGGAGTGTTGCCCGGTGGTCAGAGTAGGGAAGTAGGAGTCTGGACTCCTGGGTTCTGTTCCTGACTTGGCCATTCATTCAGGCTTTGGATGACCCATCTTTGCCTCCTGACTGTCCCCTAGATTCACTCCGGCCTCGTGCCAGGTAAAGCCATGGGCTGCTGTTCCTCATTCTCTCTATAGTGGCCTGTAATGGGGTGCGGCTGCACAAGGAAGCCTGGCCTTGTGGGTGAGGCACAGGGCTCCAGTCTAAACCTGAACCTCTGTATTGCAATTAAACACCCCCTTTGCCTACAAGCCCACGTCAGCTGGCATGGGCCAGCCAGCAGTTTTAATTACAATTCCCTTTTTGGGCTCTGCGACAGACTCCTGGCATGGCTTTGGGCAAGTCACTTTTCCTCTGCTCCTCAGTTTCCCCATCTGTGAAATGGGGGTAATACTCCCCACCAAACTCTGGAGCACTGTATGCAAAGCCTGCTGAGGGCACTGTGGAGGGCAAATGATTATTGCAGAGATGAACAAAGTGATTCCAGTAGCCACAGGTTGGGAAGGACTCTGAGCTGTAATGTTTCTTGTTTACAACCCACAGAAAAACCAGGAGCAGAGCCTCCAGCAGAAGCTCCTGGATGACCAGTTCGGTATGCTTCAGGGCACAGTGAAGGAGGCAGAGTACATCATCCAAGATGCCGTTGCCAAGTTGGACGACCCCTTGCACATCCGATGCACCAGCTCACCAGGTAGGGAGCCTTTTGGCTGATGGCTGTTGGCAGTCATTGGAAGGGAGAAAGGCAAGTGTTTGGCAGGAACTGGTGGCTCTGTGCTTTCCCCCATAAAGCTGGGTGATGCTGCCTCATCGCCGTCCCCTTAACACTGTCTTGTTGGCTAAATTTGAGCCGGAGGGGTCCTGGGCTCCTTGCTTTTCCGGGGGTAAATTATCACTAGAGGGCAGAGGGATACAGTACAGACACACTAACCAGTTTGTTGCCGTTTTAAAATAAAATCAAAATAAGTACCAAAAATACCAAAAATCAAAACTGTACCAAAGTGTGGAAATCTGAGTAATGTGAGCCATCCAAAAAAAGCAGTCATGTAGCACTTTAAAGACTAACAAGATGGTTTATTAGGTGATGAGCTTTCATTTCATGAGGCATAAGGGAGCGATCGACAAAGGCTTCCCTTGTCGACCGCACCGCGTCTAGACTGCCGCACTGTGCCGGATCAGCTGATCGTTGGCACAGCGCGGTGTCCATTTTTATTTCAATGAAGTGGGGATTATTTAAATCCCCGCTGCTTTGACTATGCCGAGTAAACTACTTTACATGGCTCCGTTGATGGAGCCATGTAGTCTAGACGTACCCTCTGTGCCGACGCCTGTGCCCTTCTGGGTGCTCAGGCTCGTGCTCTTGGCTGCGAGGCCAGTCAGGAAATGGCTCTTCACGCTGAATAGCTGCAGGGCCTTCCAAACTGGCTGTCTGCCTTGCACCTCTCGGGTCTGAACCAACTCGGTCACAGCTGAATGAGCATTAGGCTTGTGGCTTCTCAAAATAATTATAGCACCCGATTCACCTATAGGAAAAATAAAGATTCCACCCCATATCACGACCTCTTGCCCAGGTTAATTTGGCTGATGGGAATCTAGCTGCAACATCCAGGCCACCAAAGCTTTGGGCTGTTCAGACAAACTGATGGCTCCCTTATCCTTTCCTTGCCTTCACTCGAACCTTGGTGTCTTTGCAGATTACCTCATCAGCCGGGCACAGGCAGCCCTGGAGTCTGTGAACTCCTTGGAGAATGGCCATGCACAGTATGTGACCAACATGACAGGTAAAGGCCCCTTCTACTGGTTGTCTGGACTGGAAGCTGGCACAGAGGCCACTTGTCTGAAAGGGGCTGAGGTAGTTGTTTGGTGCGGTTGTTGTGATTTGTGCCAGATGGGAAGAGTTCCATGTGCTTAGCTTGTCTGCAAAATCTGCGTGGTGTAAACAAATGCATAATTCTCATGGCAATGGTCGACCTTCAGTCAAATACCCTGAGACATTGCCCAGGGCTGAGAGGCTGGGCTTCCTGTCTGGATGCAGCAGGCACACTCCAGCAGCAATAAGGAGCTGGGCTATGAAAGCACAGGAAGCTTTCTGGTTATGGGTGAATTGGGGAGTGTAGGGTGTGCTGGCCCTAGGCGGTCGTTTCTATGGAGAGTGCATGTGAGCCCAGTGCTCTGATGGGTACATTTTAATACATGCACATTAGTTAATTAATGAGGCTCTTCCTGTGTTCAGGATATTCAAGTACCAGCTTGTCTGTCTGGGAGTGAAGGATTATTGTTCCCAGATGTGGGGGGGAGGGAGGTGCTGAAACTTGGAGGGATTAAGGCCAAGATTGTTCAGCCTCCTAAATCCATATTTAGGCTTCCCCGGGTGGGATTTTCAAAGGGAGCCAAATGCCTTAAGAGCAGACGTCAAGCTCGTGCTTGTGAATAGGTGGGCCATGGTGATTTACTCAGGATCACCAGGGAGTTGGTGCTGGAGCTCGGACCAGGGGGCAGCAACCAATTCACCTGGTCTGTGCTTTGAAGCTTCAGACACTAGCCTGTGCGCTCTGCTCTGGGGGTAGCTGGCAAACGCTTGGTGTAAGGAGAGGAGGGGGCAAGCTGGGGGCCACAAAGCAGGCAACTTCCTGGGTGGGCCATGGTGATTTACTCAGGATCACCAGGGAGTTGGTGCTGGAGCTCGGACCAGGGGGCAGCAACCAATTCACCTGGTCTGTGCTTTGAAGCTTCAGACACTAGCCTGTGCGCTCTGCTCTGGGGGTAGCTGGCAAACGCTTGGTGTAAGGAGAGGAGGGGGCAAGCTGGGGGCCACAAAGCAGGCAACTTCCTGCCT